ATTCCTGCTCAGTTCATGTTAAACATTATGGCCCTTGGTCTATAGATGTTGTTTGAAAATGGAACTGGTATGCCAGGGGTGACCTGAAGTTACAGTTTCTCCTCGATAGTTCTTGAAATCAAGATGTCATGATGTTGATCTAAGGAGAATATTAGAAACTTCTATCCTGACTAGCTGGAATCATGGCATGGGTGGGAGGATGAGGCCTAAAAAGAGAGATAACATCCTTATTTGCCTTCATAGAAATCCAGGTGAAGTCACTGGGAAAATGATTCTCCCAATGAATCTCGGCTTCTCATTTTGCTCTTAGAGCTGAAAAAAACCTTGTGCTGTATTAGGTGACCACCAGCCTCCAGATTCCTCTCCTCCAGGGACACTAAGAATTCAGTCTGACCTTAACATGCTTTAATCTCCTATGGTCCCCTCCCCATCACTCTTAAGATACATTTCACCCCCTTCTCCCACCCCCCATCCATTTGCCTGTCCTCCTTAATTATCTTTTACACCTGTCCAAATCTAACTAGTTCTTCAGGGCTCAGCTTAAACTCTGTATCTCCTCTGTGGAGAGATGGAATAAATTTAATAGATGTCTACACTGAAAGCCAGGCACTGTGCAGAGTTTTAGGGATTCAGAGATGCACCGAGAATAAAGGACAGGACCTGACATCAGGGAGCTTTCAGTCTAGTAAGGGAGATATTAAAAGAATTAGAGGACAGTGTGGTGAGTACAACAGTGGGATTGAGTGTAAGCTTGAAGAGGCTCAAAAGAGGGAGTGTTACTTGTGTGTGTAGAATTGGAAAGGTTTCCTGGGGGAGATGACATCTGAGCCTGGGTCTGAGGCTGAGAAAGGGCCAACTCCTCCAAGAGCTCTCCCTGCGTGAATTCCCATAGCACTTAGCTTGGCTCCTCCATGGACACCCACCTTCACCGCTCTGCACAGTTGGCGCCCTTTGCTTGTGAGTCTGTTTACATCCTGTCTCCAGCTAAACCAGGATGGAGATCTTGCCCTTATGCTCCCCACAGTCTGAGCACAAGGCCTGACACCGAATAGGGGCTCAATACATATTTGTTAAATGAATAGAATAAATGAATCCCAGAGACAGGTTTTTCTCTCCCCAAACACTTTATCCAGAGTTTTCCTGAGCTAGCCAGGGGGATAAATTCCTTCCTAAGGCTCCAGGAAGAATTACCAAGTCAGTGGAATGTCCCCCACTTCCTGTCCTTTGCTCTTTTGCTCGCTGACTCCACAGTGTCCCCTGCTGCCTCCAAATGCCTATCCACCAACGCCTTCCTTTCAGAGAGCTCCAGCCTACAAAATCTCTCTCCAAAAAAACTACCCTTACTGATTAAACTATGGAACACAATGGAATACAGCTGTGGGAATGGTTGGGAATGAGGCTTTCCAATGTATACTTTTTTAAGGTAAGTTTGATCTTGGAAACATGTGAATGTTCACCTATTAAAAAAAAAAAAAGACAGAAACCTAAACCTCACATTGAAGATGATGAAAATTCACCCAAGAGTGTGAATGACTGATAGGTAATTGAATTTTCAATTTTAGCTTCAATAAATTATTTGTTGAATGAACACATGAAGATGTCTCCATAGCATCTCTGGATCTCCACTTCAGTCCCTTGCTCCCTATTTCTCCCTAAAGAGGGAGGAGACCTCACATCTAGGGAGGACCAGAAGCTGGAGGATAAGGGCACAGGGCACTGAAGTCCTTTCTTCCAAACATGTCTGTTTCAGGGATGTCCCAAGTATGGGTTCTTTGATTCAAATTCCTTTCTCTTTGATGGTCTCTATTCCCAGCTTCTCTTGGCGAAGAGATGGAGCTGGTATTAGGACACTGATTCAGACCTCATGGGTTCATGGTTAGTTGGCCTTGAAATTGGGAGAACCCAGGTTTTTAGGAGATCCCCTAGACCTCTTTCCTGGGTCCAGACTCATATCTACCTACCTACTAGGTATTTCTACTGGGAAATCTCTCAGGCACCATATCGAAAAATTGCCTCATCATTCTCCGCCCAAACCTGGTTCTCTCAGCCTCCCTACCCCCGAAGAGCACTCTCACACACCCAGTTACCCAAACAAATTTAGGTTTCATGCTGAATTCTTTCCTCTCCCTTACCATCCTCCAATTTATATGCCCCACGCTTACCCCTCAGGCGTGATCTGAACATCTTCCAAATCTCCAAATCTGTTAGCACCTCTCCAACTCTGCAGCCATTCCCCTAATCCAGGCTTCCAGCATCTGTTAACTGGATTATTATAGCAGTCTCCAACCTGGATCCCACTCCAATCCATCTGTAGCCTTGCAGGCGAAGTCATCATTCCAAAATGCAAAGCTCATTATGTGATTTTCCTGCTTAAAACCCTTCAGTGGCTCCCAAGTGGCATTAAGATAGAAGTCCAAACTCCTTATTGGAGCTTACAGGGTCCTATAGAACCTGGTCCTATTTTCTTTTTTTCTTCCTTATATAAAGCCATCTGGGTTTGGTACTTTTTGTTGTAAGCAGATTTTTAACTATTGATCCAATTTACTATAGCTATTGAATATTTTGTTTATAAATTAAAAAAAATTATTTATTTATTTTTATTTTTTGGCTGCGTTGGGTCTTCATTGCTGCGTGCGGGCTTTCCTTAGTTGCAGTGAGCGGGGGCTACTGTTCATTGCGGTGTGCGGGCTTCTCATTGCGGTGGCTTCTCTTTGTTGTGCAGCACGGGTTCTAGGCACGCGGGTTTCAGTACTTGTGGGACTCGGGCTCTGTAGTTGTGTCTTCTGGGCTCTAGAGCGCAGGCTCAGTAGTTGTGGCGCATGGGCTTAGTTGCTCCGTAGCATGTGGGATCCGCCTGGCTCGAACCAGTGTCCCCTGCATTGGCAGGCGGATTCTTAACCACTGCACCACCAGGGAAGTCCCTTTTTCCAACTTTTTGAGGCAGATGCTTAGTTTATTAACTGTCAGCCCATCTTCTGTAAATAAGTATGGAAGTTGTTAAGATGTTTCTAAGTTTCCCTTTAGCTGTGTCCCACAAGTTTTCACATCTAGTATTTTCATTATCATATTCAGTTCCAAGCGTTTAAAAATTTCCATCATGATTTTTTCTATAACCTATTAGTTATCTATAAGTGTTTCAAAATGCCCAACGGTATTTTTTGTCATCTTTTTTTTGTGAATGACCGCCATCTTAATTCATCCTTGGGTAACAAAATCATTCCCCAATCTGTACTTACTGGATACACTCTAGAACTTCCGTTCCCAGAAACATGCTTTTTGGCCTTTGGACCTTTGTACATTCCGTACCTGCTGCCCGGACACTCCTCCTTCCCCCTTTGTTAACTCCTACTCAACCCCCAGGTCTCAGTATTTTTAATAAAAAAAAATTCTCTGCAAGCCTGCCTTGAACTTCCAAATCTGGATTAGATAGCCTTCTGCTTTTCTAAGTGCTCTCACACAGCTTGTACTTAACGTTTTTGCTTCTTTTCTGTTTTTCTCACTTTTAGATTCCTCCTGCAAACTCCTTGAAGACCTTGCTCAGTGCCTGGCCCACAGTAGGTGATCAGTAAAGAGTTGTAGAATGAATGGTGACTCTTACCCTGTCACTTGCTGGTAAAAATTCCCATTTTGGAGCCACAGAGAACAATACACGGCTGCTTCTCTCCCCTCAGGTATCGTCATATCCATCGTGTCTCTCTTCGTGGTTATGGTTCATCTCTGGTTGTTCATCTCCCTCCACCCCATGCCACCCAGGTCCCTGGGAGGCCTATTCTCTGGAGCAGGACTGGGGCTAGGCTGGACTCCAGCAGCTGCCCCTCCCCTGTCAGTGACTCCTGGCGCTGAGCCTTCTTGCCAGCAGGTGGCACCTAAAGCCTGAAAGCTGAACTACTCTGTTCCACGTTCCTTTTCTGAGCTGCTTGTTGGGACACATAACCTGGCTTGGGCTGTGCTTGGGCTTGGAGAGGATGCTCTGGCCTGGGAACCTGACTCCTGGCTCCCCTGCTGCTGTCCTTTCTTCCTTGTCTAGCAGCAGTCACTGTCTGGCCTTTTCCTTTGTCTTAAGAGTCCTATTCAGTGCCCGTGCTCCAACCAGACATAAAACTAGGTAGGGCACTAAAAACTATTAAAATGATGATTTTTGTGTTCTTATGCTCTTTCCTTAGTAACTCTCTCTCCACATTCTCCCTGCTTGTCCTCTTAGATCATCTAGGAAGCCCAGCTGAGCCCATCAAGGAAGCCTAGCAGCCTGGCTCCCCTCTTAGTTTCATTTCCTCTCCACAGCTTAGAGGCTAGAACTGGGGAGTTATTTATTTTTTTAAGAAGTAGAGAACAATAACAAAAGTAGACAACAGCTGTGTGTGTGCAGGAGTGTTACTGACTTGGGTCCTTGGACTCTTTAACAAACAGAAATTGATAAGAGGCCAGATGAGGAGTTCAGGCAAGGCTTTACTGGGACTTGTGCTGCAGCACGAGGGAGTGAGAACAAGTAACAGGTGCCCTTCCTCTATCTCCGTGGAGGGCAGGCTGGTTCCTTCAGTGGGGTGAGGACGGAGGCAGATCTGCAGATGGGGCCGGAGGAGTGGCTTAGGTGTTCTGCCCACCCTCTTGGTGGTGCCCTGTGCAGGGATCATGCACAGAACCCTCCTTTTGCTCCCAGCACCTAAGTCGGTTTGTGGCCTTTTATCTTATTGCGCATAATTGCCCAGATTGCGGCATGCATGCAGTTATTTTTAATTCCATTAGTTTCCTTGTATTCTGTTGCTCGAGGAGATGTGTCCAGGTGCAAGCACTGCAGTAAAGGCCCCAGGTCCCAGCCTGTCTCAGGAGGAATTTATTGAGGCACTGCTAGTATCATTTTTACCTCGTCCGAGAAATATTTTTAAATTTGCTTTTGGTGGTGGACTCTTTCTTTGATTATGTCACTGCTTTGGGTCTGAACTTTTTGGGTGACAATCTCACAAAAATTATGTCAAGTTACAGCAGCGTTGTTATGGGTGGGCAAGAGATCCTTGGGAGGCAAAGGAGGGGCCACTAATCTTGTCTGGAAGAGGATTAAGCAAGGGACAGTTTGATCTGAATCTTGAAGGCAGAGGGGAAGGTTATTCTGTCTAGGTAGAAGAAACAATGGGAATAAAAAGAGAAGCACATTATCAGCCTTCTGTATTCCCAAATGCTCCCAGCCTTACCCCCAAACTCTGCCTACTAAAGTCCCCTCAGCCTACTCACATGCTTCCTTGGTGAAAGCACCAAATCCTAGCCACTAGACCACCAGGGAGCTCACATGCTTCCTTGGTCCCTTGGTCAAGAACTTCCTTGGGGCATCCTGGCCTCTTCTGGGTGACTTAGCTTGTATCTTTCACCTGCACATTTGCCCTGTTGTGCCAAAGTGTGGCCGTCCTGTCTCCTTGAGCACCTGGACCGCCTCTGCTTCCTCAGGCTCTCCTAGGAGCTAACGGAGTTCAGTTGGAATTCCACGTACTTGTCATAGGTGCTCTTGACCCAGGGTTTCAAGATGTTGCAGGTGAGATCCTTATCCTTTCCTGCTATGCTTTGGCTTTCGGCTTCAGTGAACCCAGGCCAGTTGGCAGGTCTCTTCTGGTGAGGGAGCGAATGCCCCACAGAGGCTGTGAAAGGGACTTCTCTTTCAGGCTGGAGAAATGAGGATTGGAGAAAAGAGTGATTTGGGGATTATGGGACAAATTCAAGAAAAAGCTCACATTTTGCTGATGCCTCAGCTCTGGGGCAATGAGCAAGGCAAAGGCTACACTTGGGTGCCAGGAATACGTACCACAAGAAAGGAAACAGTGGAAGATAGATGAGGTGCATGAGTGGGAAACTCCTTTGAGAGATAATCTAATCTCCCAGAAAGGATGTTAGAAGTGAGGTTATTAAATTGCTCTGGAGAAAATACTGGGGTTGGTACTGTCCTTGTGGAGCCACAGGTGCAGACCTATGTCTCTGCTCTTCTCTGCCTGATACACACTCCCTACCAACTTCTAGGCCTCGCAGGAAGCACTGGGTTTTTGGTGTGGTGGTGCTATTACATTGGATGCAAGACCCTATCGTGCCAAGGAGCACTACCTGGAGGTTCTGGAGGTTGTAGGAATTCTGGAGAAGAGCTGAAGGAGAGGTTTCTGGACCTGGAAGAAACCTCTAAGCCCATTAAGCTCAACCCTATCTGTCATTTTATAGTTGAGAAAACAGATGGGAAATTGCTTGCTCACTCAAGGTCACACTGAGTTAGTGGCAGAGTTGAATCCACATAAAACACTGGTTGCTATGGTTCTTTTCTTTTTTCTTTTTCTTGGCCGTGCTGCGTGGCTTGTGGGATTTTAGTTCCCCGACCAGGGACTGAACCTGGGCCCTCAGCGGTGAGAAGGCAGAGTCCTAACCACTGGACCGCCAGGGAATTCCCGGTTGCTGTGGTTCTTAACACTTAGGTCCACCGTACCAGATGATGTCTCATATCCCCCCCCCCCCCCCAACCCTGTCTTGGTTCCTTCTCATGGGGCATGAGTAATCAAGGACTACATTGGACCTGGTAGCCTTGGTCCAGGATGAAATGCTATCCAAACCTTGCTGGAAAATGCCACCACTAACCTCCAAATGCCCTCACTTTTTGTTTATGCCTGAAGTGCCTTCTCAACAGGAAGGACCAGGCTCTGGTGAAAAGAAAACAGGTCTGCTGCTAGGATCTCAAAGCCAGTGGAGAAGTGAAATGAAAAGGGCCCCAGAGGACCCTAAAATAAAGGAGACAAGAGCCTTTGGTGGTGGTTGGGGAGGCTTTACTGCAAACCGTTATAATTAAAGTGCTATTTTACAAGTGTTTAAGACAGGGCAGACAGGCTCTGAGCCAGGACTCAGCTTCAGAGGCACATGCCTGGAGGGGAAATGGCACTCGCAGGGGCCATGAGCTTAATCACTGCCGCTCATTTAATAAGCACAGTCGTGCTGGAGTCTTCTTAGGGAGCCTGAGAGGAAAAGAGGGAGTGGAGAGAGACATGCAGCAGCTACTTTAAATTCCTAATCTTGCTCCATTCCCACTGTGCACACCGCCTCAGAGCCACCCTGGGGACTGACACAGATCCTTCCTCTGGCCCAGGCTTCCCACCAGCTCAGGGTGCCTGGGTCATCCTCGTTATCATTCATCACTGATTTCCTTTTTCTGCCAGAGGTTTTCCCAATTTGTAGCTTAAAAACCACCAGCAGGAGAAGAAGCAAGGAATGTTCTTGTTAATATAAATCCACACCAAGATGACTCAAGAAATGGGTGTTTCCCAGGGTTGGCAGGTACATTGGCATTCTTTGTCTGTAGGGTGCTTGAATGGGTAGTACTGTTGAATGTAACAAAGGTCTGCGCTTTTAGGACCTGCTCATGTTTTTGAGGACCTCTAGGGAGAATCACTGGTTTAGAACCAGGGCCTAGCAGAACACTGGGAGAAGGGAAACTTGATGAGTCCTGAGATCATTCCCAGGAGGAGGGGAGCACTACTTCTGGAAGCAGCAGTGGGGAGGACTGTGCCAAGGCTCTGCCCAAGGGGCCAGGGTGCTTGGCCTGGAGGTGCAGCTCCTTGTGCGGTTCTGGGTTACTGTTTGGGCAAAGCGAAGTCCCAGGCAGTTTCCTGTGCACATTTCCACATGGCCTGCATGAGGCGGGTGAAGCCCATGTCTTTGGGCTTCTCCAGGCCTCTCATCAGCCGTTGCTTCATGATGGAAACAAATTCCTTATTGCTCAGCTCTCCGTTGCCTAGAAGAGGCAAACACAACAGGGATAAGTGACGGGCTTGGAACAAAGACAATGAGACAATTCCATTGCTCGCATCATGTAGGTCCCAAAGCCTAGTGCTCTCTCACAGCCAAACTCAATTCTCTTGGTTAAAAATGAACTGGTTTGTACTGTCCGTGATGTTTCCAATTGCAACTCAGTGATAGTTCCGTGTAGTGTGACAGAAGTTGAATGAGAATATATATGTCAGATCCTGTGCTAGGTGTTGAGAATAAAGAGATAAAAATGACTTTGTCCCTTGAAATACCATCAGGTTATGGGAGAGACAAGTACATTATTTCAATAGTATGGTAAATGCCATAATGGGGTAAACAGAGGATGCTATGGGGGCACAGAGGAAGACTATGTAACCCAGGCTGGGGAGGGTGCAAGTACAGGTCAGTAAAGGCTTCCTGGAGGTGACTCCTAAGTTGAATCCCAAAGGATGAGCAGGAAGTGGCCAAGCAGAGGGGAGTGAGATGGGGGAGGCATTCCAGTAGTGGTAGTAGCATAAGCAAAGGCACATGTAGGAAGCAGCACAGCTGTTAGAGAACTACAAGTTGTTTAGGTATTGCTGGACACACAAAGATAGGGGTATGGCCAGTAAACCAAAGAGGAAGGCAGGAGACAGGTCCTCAAGGATCTTGTATCCTTATGAAAGGGTTTGCACTTTATCTTCAGGGCAGGAAAGGACTGGGAGAGGGGATAAGATGTAGTTAGATTTCCATTTTGGGTAGATTTCTCTAGCTGGATGATGGTGATAGACTGGTGAGTGGCACAGATGGAGTGAGTATGGGAGCCAGTTAGGAGGCTGCTGCAATAGTCCGGGTAAGACTTGGACTGTGATGAGGCTTTTCATGGTGAAAAATAAAATCAAAACCTGGCTTCGGGTTAAGCCCATTTTCTCATGGCTTCTCATTTGACCCTCTTCAGTGGCAGACTCTCAGGTCTGGAGGAGAAACTGGAGAGCATCTGGTCTGAGCCAAGGTCACTTCTCAAGCCACACGGAGTAGTAACCACTCCAAAAGTAGAGGACAGTTACCATTTGACTAGATGCTCAGGAGTAAATGTCTGCTGATTAAAAGAATCGCAGCCATTACTGGTGGTGACAGGAAGCTAGCAAACAGACCTCTACTAATGATCAGTCTGGGAAGAAAGTGGTAAGAGGGAATAATTGGTTTACTTCTGTATAGAGTACCTGAAAACCTAAACGGGCCCATGTTTGCTGTCTGAAAAGAGCATGGGCAGCCTCAGGGATACCTCAGAGCAAGATTAAAACAAACAAAAAACAGGTAAAGCTAACCTATGGCACTAGAAGTTAGGGAAGTGGCCGCCCTCGGGGGTATAAATGACCGGAGGGCAGCAGCACCAGGCAGCTCTGTGGTCCTGGTGATGTGCTGCTTCAGGATGATGCACGGGTGTATTCAGTTTTTAAAAACTTATCAAGCTCCACACTTATGGTATTTGCATTTTTTTGTATGTATATTATACTTTAACTTAAAAAGTTAAAAAGCCTGGCTGGGCTGAAAGTTAATCAATAATATGGCTTATTAAGAATGCAATTAAAAGAACAAAAAGGTCTAAATAGGATTCTTAATATTTTGTATAAAAAGAAGCTTAAGATGAAAAAACCTGAAGTTATTTTTATTTATTTATTTTTTGGCAGTGGGGCTTGCAGGATCTTAGCTCCGCAACGGAGGATCAAACCTGTACCCTCGGGCAGTAAAAGCGCGGAGTCCTAACCACTGGACCACCAGGGAATTCCCCAAACCTGAGGTTATTTCATTCAAACTACTCTGGGATTTGCTTCTTGCTTCCCTAAGGCCGGGGCTGACCAGTCTGAACGGCCTTTGTTACCTGTGAATTGGATATATGACTGAATGTCATTTGTGTGCATGTGTGATCTGTGACTGCAACTCTAAATTCTGTGACAAACAAGTCTGTTTGAAAATTGGAATTCTCTGTCCCCTGGCATTTTTTTTTTTTTTTTTTTT